TTCAGGGGCATTTTACTTGTGTCCAGAGACAGAGCTGAGCAACAAGGGGCCACATTATAGTGATGTCTTGACAAGTGTACTTTCTAATACACTGTAAGTAGCTTACGAAATACATTTCTTGACACTTGAGGAATACATCCTTCCATGACCTTTACCTGCTTCACATTTGCTCTTTATTTCTTTTATTTTTAAATTAATTTTAATGAAAGTTTACTGAGACTCAGTGTTTCCAATTGCTCCTTTTTTATCTCATACCTCTAGAACCTAAATTTTGTAGGTTCTAGTGTCAGACTTTAGGGAGCTCTGATTACAGAGTGGAGTACTGCTTTGCCAGTGTAAGCTAACAATGTGAATCCACCAGTCACTCCATGACAAATCGATGGGCAAGTGAGGCCTCCCTTGTGATTTACAATTTCTGAAAACCCACTAGACGGTCAGTTAGGAGTCAGTTCCAAGTAGATGGCAGTAAATAGATGACTTTGGTCTTTCTTTTCTCCAGTAATGGTGGCAGAAAATGGCTAAGGCTTAGCCATTAGCTAAAAAAGTTGGCAGTCTGATCACATCCAATGGCATCTAGGCAAAAACCCCTGGAATTCTACTTCCATTAAAAAATATAACCAAGAAAATTCTAAGGAGCTCAATTATACTTTGTAACACATGGTATTATCAGCTGGAATTGACTCTGTGGCAATCAATGTGTTTGGTTTTGCTTTTATCTTCTACTTAAGGAGCTTCCTTAATGTCTATTTCCCATCTTTTCACATTGCTAATCATGTCACACAAGAGCAAAGAATTGTCCAATGTAAATGGATCAATGCGTAATGAAATCTATTATTTCTTCCTGAAATTCTTCGAGGATGGGTCTCAATGAAGTCATCCAGCTTTCCTTATGCCTAATCTCTCATATCGACTACAACCAATGGAGGCTTTCCTTTCAGTGTGACCCTCTAAATTCATCCTGTTCCTTACTGTTGTTGTTGTTGTTATGTGCCATCGAGTCCTTTGTGACTCATAGTGACCCTATGCACAACAGCCCTAAATCCTGCTCTATCCTGCGGCCAACCGCACTGCCTCCGACACACCCATCCCGATTACCCCAGTTACCGAGTCAATCCATCTCACAGAGGGTCTTCCCCTCCTGCACCGTACCTCCACCCTCCCAAGCATGATGTCCCTCTCCAAGGACCCGTCCCTCCTGGCAATATGTCCAAAGTATGTCAGACGAAGCCCCAGAATCCTTGCCTCCAAGGAGTAGCTTGGTTTAATCCTCTCCAAGATGAATCTGTTTGTTTTCTTGGCAGTCCATGGTACACACTCAATACTCTTCTCCAGCACCACAGCTCAAAAGCATCCACTCTCCTTCTGTCCTCCCCCTAGTCATTGTCCAACTCTCTGATGCATAACAAGTGATTGCAAAGACCATGGCCTGTATCAGGCGCACCTTAGTCTCCAGAGAAATACTGTTGCTCCTGAGTACTTTGGAGAGGTCCCTAACAGCAGACTTTCCCATCGCGATACGTTTTTTTATTTCCTGACTGCTGGTGCCAAGAGTGTTGACTGTGGAGCCGAGCAAACTGAAGCTGTGAACACTCTCAATCTCTTCGTCATCCATCCTGACGCTGCCAATTGGTCCAGTGGCAAGAATCTTTGTCTTCTTGACATTGAGCCTCAGTCGATACTGAAGGCTGCAGTCCTTGACCCTTCGCAGCAAGTGCATGAGGTCCTCCTCAGTTTCAGCAAGCAGGGTTGTGTCATCTGCATAACACAGATTGTTAACAGATCTTCCACCAATCCTGATGCCACAATTCTCCTCATAGAGCCCAGCCTCTCAGATAATCTGCTCTGTATACATGTTGAAAAGGTACGGAGACAGGATGCATCCCTGGCACACACCCTTCCCAATTTTGAACCATGCAGTGTTACCCTGCTCTGTTCTGACTACGGTCTCTTGGTCCAAGTATAGGTTTCGCATTAGCACAATTAAATGTTCTGGGATTCCCATTCTTCTCAGAGTCAGCCAGTTTGTTATGATCCACACAGTCAAATGCCTTTGCATAATCAATGAAACACAGATAGACATTCTTCTGGTATTCTCTGCTTTCAGCCAAGATCCATCTAACATCAGCAACAATATCCCTAGTACCACGACCCCTTCTAAACCCATCCTGGACTTCCAGCAGTTCTCTGCTGATGTGCTGTTCTAATCGTTTTTGGATAATCTTCAGTAGACTCTTGCTTGCATGTGAAATCAATGACACTGTTCTGTAGTTTCCACACTCAGTTGGGTCACCTTTCTTTGGAATGGGAACAAATATCGATCTCTTCCAGTCAGTTGGCCAAGTGGTCGTTCTCCAGATTTCTTGGCACAACTTGGTGAGCACATCCAGGGCAATGTCTGTTATCTGGAATATTTCAATTGGTATACCATCTATTCCTGGGGCCTTATTTTTTGCTGTTTCATTCAAAGCAGCTTGAACTTCTTCCTTCATCACCATAGGCTCTTGTTGATATGTTATTTCTTTAAATTCCTCTGTATCTGCCAATTCCTTTCTATATAGTGACTAAGTATATTTCTTCCATCTTCTTTTAATATATCCTGGATGGTTTAATATTCTGCCCAAAGCATCCTTGATTACAACAACTCTAGGTTTGAATTTGTTCTTCAGTTCCTTGAGTTTAAGAAATGCTGAGTGAGTTCGGCCCTTTTAATTTTCTGACTCTAGCTCCTCGCACATTTCGTTGTAGTATTTTGCTTTGTCATTCCAAGCAGCCTTTTGGAATCTTCTGTTCAGCTCTTTAGTATCTTGAATTCTTCCTTGTGCTTTGGCTTCTCTGCGCTCCAGTGCAATCTTCAGAGTCTCTTCTGACATCCATTTTGGTCTTTTCTTCCTCTTCTGTCTTTGTAATGACCGTTTGCACTCTTCCTGGATGATGCCTTTGACATCCTCCCATAACTCATCTGGTCTTTGCTCATTAGTGTTCAAGGCCTCAAACCTGTTCCTGAGATGATTCTGAAATTCAGGTGGTATGAAATCAAAGTCATATTTTGGCTCCTGTGGGTTTGGTTTAATTTTCCTCAGCTTCAACTTGCATATCTACCTCAAATATAATCTCTCCTACCTTCTCTGAATCTCCAACCAGATGGGATCCATCTCTAGTCTAATCTTTATAGCACTGAGGATAGTTCTTATAAGACTTGATGCTCATACCTGTACCATGTCTCTGTACCTCAACTGTCATTTCTATTATAATCAATTACGTTGTCTTTTTGTTCTAGAATACACACATTCATATTCATTGTCAAGGATCAAAAGCAGAATTTACTGATTTGAATAATTTGAAAAACAAAAATCAAAGCACTTCAAAATTTTTTGTCTGTTAACAAATGGGTCAAGAGAACCTAGAGAATTTAAGAAGTAATTTTCCCCCAATTTTTGCTGGCTGCTTTCTGTGTTCTGGCCCTGCAACTCTGGACAACCAAGCAGAATAGCTCCCATACGGTTTTTTGGTTCTAATCATAAAGTTCCCAATGGGGCACTTGATTTTCCTGGTACAGACACAACTCTTGATTGACATCTACTAGGTCAAGGAAGGAATGCCTTTATTATGGAAACGAAAAACTCAAAGGTTTGAAAACCTCCTCCCAGCCCCAACCAAAAACCCAAAGGCATCTGTCTTTTGTATTTATTACCTGGTTTTTAATTTTGTACAGGTGCATACAGGCAACTCTGGGGAAAGGGTAAATCCATTAATACAAGCAAATGACAAACTGTGAATACCTTTGCAGAGATGTTTGGATAAAATGGTAAGAGAATACATCTTAAAATAAATTTCAAATTTGGAAAATTAATTCCTTGCCTCCAGTAAAAAGTGAAATGGAATAAAAAATCTAGTTATGTTCCTTTCTTCCAAATTTTAAAGCTAATCAGGGAAACCTGGCATAGTCACAAACATTTCATAAAGGTGTTGAAATAATACTACACTTAAGGCGAACACAGATAATGAGTATGTGGATTCCTAACTATTACGCAGGCCTATGTCACTTGTTTACTTGGTGCCTTCATTTTTTTTTTTTTTAAAGGGGAGACCAACGAGAAAGGCAAGACGGGAGGAAATCAGTTTAAATTGTGTTCAAGTATCTGTTTAAAGTAAACACTACAAGTTAGCTGATTTTTTTTTCCTGTGATACTGTTGATACACAATGAAATTAACTGATAATCTGAACAAAGCCAACAGGCACCTGCAGTCACTCAATCTCTTCGCAAATATTTCCGCCAGGACAGAGGGCCAAACTGGAGGATCTGGGTGAGAAGGCGGGTGTCACCTTTCAATACTAGGCTCCTTGCTCAATAAGCTGTAAATCCTGGAGCTACTGGGACCCTTCCCAGGGATCTCGAGCTGGGAGCGGCCTCAGGTTTTTAGACAAATTTCTCCTCCTACCACACGTGACCGAATGGCAAGCAGCCGCCGAGACAGACACCGCAACGCACCAGCCGCGGGATACAAAGGCTGGGCGCCACCGCTGCATCCTGGGGAGGACCGCGGAGCCTCCCGCGCTCGGCGTCGGCAAAGCCTGCGTAGGACGCCGCCGCGAGGCACGCTGCTCCCGGGCCTGCAGGGCGGTGCCGCGCAGCGCGGGGAGCGAGAGCAGGGAGCGCGCGCCGCCTGCCCTGCGCGCCTGCCCACCCAGTGCCGCGGGAGTAGGGGCGCCGAGTCGCACGCAGCCGGACCGCGTTACAGCCATAGCCACAGCCACATCCGCAGCCACAGACACAGACGCAGCCGCCGGAGCCGCCGGGCTCTTGCCCGCAGCAGGGAGCCCCGCAGCGACGAGGACCAGGGTGAGGAGGCCGAGGCCCCCAGCTCCCCGGCAGGCCGGAGGCTGGGCCACCCTATCTCCGCGCAAGCTTTCCTTCCCTGCCCCCCTCCCCTGGCCCCCGTCCCTCCCGCGACTCCCGCGGGCCTGGCGCAGGCTGCCGGGCGCCGTGAACAGCACTTACACCACGGCTCTGGAGATCATCCAGGACACCATCTTCCCGGGGGCTTGGGCCCCACCTGCGGGGCGGGTGGGCGCCAAGCGCCACGGACTAGGCCGCCAACGGCAGGCCGCGCGCTTGCCGGCTCCTCGCGCTCCCCGGGGCCGCGC